CTTAAATTTCAAATTTATTTTTACGGAGAATTAATTTTTTCCCTCAATGATGCGCAATAAATATTTATTAATACTATATGAAAAGCTTTTTTTAGTCCAAAGGGGCTTTGTCCCTGAAGGACTATTGTTTTCGGTTTGCGATTTTGCTTTGAATCACTATAAATGTCCGTTTCACTTTTCAAACTGTTGCCACCAAAATGTTAGAGTCCTGCATTATATTTGCAGAAATTAAATAATGAAAAATATGCATAAATGCATGTATATATCTCGCATTGTCATAAAACAACGGTACATAGAGCAATCGAATGACGTAATCCTCCTACCAATATGGGAATGTGGAAGACCAAATTTGAAATTTAGAAATTGTTTTATTATCGATTTCATATACAAACAAACGATTTAAAACAAACTCAACGATTTAAAAGCGAGCCTTGGCAACACTCTACTGGGAAAAAAAGGATCTTTTTAACTCCAGTGAGCGGAACTGTGTATCGGAAATTCTAAAGATACGCTCATTTTAAAATTATTTTGCGACATTGAATTTTATGTGGTTTAAGTGCAAAGAACATGATATTTAATAAATAAAGGTAACACAAAAAATAGTAAAAAACGTCCCTTTGGACGTAATTCAAATTCTGAAACCGTTCAGATTTTTTTCAAACTTTTTTTTAAAATTGTAGATGATATTATTCAAATTTTTAACTTTTTAAAAAATTTTTTTCGTTTTTAAATATTTGCAACAGTAAAATTTTGCCTTCGCCGTGTTATCGTCTGCTACTTTAACTTCATTTAAATTGAATTGTCTAAAACTGACAAAAGTTCGTTTGATGTTTATTTTCACAATGTTTTTAAAAGCAAACAAGACGTTGACACTTTGGGTCATGTCCTAGCTTTAAAAAACATATATATAAACATAAATTTTTGCATTAATCCTCTTAGAAAGAATGTCTTAAGTAGAAATTTTCTCTCGTGTTGTAGATTATGTAAAAAACATCTTCTTTAATATAAAAAGTTTTAGGCTTAAAAACTCTAAATAATATGATTAAGATTTTTTGCACCCGATATAAGTATTGGGTCACTCGGTGGTACAGAATAAGCGTTGCTGGAGTGGTTTATTTCTTTTTCATTTAACAAAAATCTTTTAATTGAAATATTTATCCTTTGGACTTTGCTTTAAACTTTATTTATAGTTAAAATGTCTAGAAGCAGTCTTCAGCTGAAACGCATTTAATGTAAGTGATATTTAAAAAAAATGACAAAAATGCAAAATTTATGGAAGTGTAACAATCGGAAAATCTTACTTTTCTTGTGGTGAGCACTGAAAATAAATGTTGAAGGAAGAAATGTAGGGAGAAAAGGAAGCAAAAATTTGAAGGAGAATTTGGCTGTCAGAAATACCAAGGCGTTTCGAAAAGTTGGATGTTTTTGAATATACTTTCAGAATTCTTCAAGGAATTTGGGTGTTCAAAGAGAAAACACTTGGACCTGCACATAAGCAAATTGCAGCAATTGAGTTTGTTCTAAAGGAAAAGACAAAACCCATATCATTGCAGATTAAAGTGAAGAGCTTCTGGTTTTCGACTATATGGTTGTATAAATCTAAAATTACGTCATAGAACATCATATCGTATCATAAACGGAGTATTCCACGATTTTTCAGTCGAATTATTTGAAGATTCAGGAATTTATCCAGTGATGTATGTGGATGTCACCTAAAGACGTGTTCCCTCTTGATGAAACCAGTCTTTCCTTTCATCTCATGCCTTCAAAATGCTTACCTTCTAAAGACTGATAAAGGTTCTGACCAAATACTGATGAAATGGATTGAATTTGATTCTTAAGTTACGGGAAAGCAGGGCTATCTGCCTAAAAGGAGGGATGCCTTCGTGAAGAACTTTCTAAGGGAAACCAGCTGGCATACACGTTACACATGAGAAAAACTACGAAAACGCCCATGCAACCAGCCCGTTCGCCGGGATTCGAACCCCGGAGCGAACTACCAGTGTTCAGCGACTTTACCGCTCGGCCGTTTGTGGGCCTTTATGTAATGGAAGGCGATAACTTTATTTAAAATGAATGTGAGAAATACCAAGATGTTTAAAAAAATTGAATGCTTTTTAATGCACTTGCAGAATGCCTGAAGAAAAAGAGCAAGCCATTAAGAAGAAAAAATAAATTGTTGCATAAAATTTAGTAATATTTTTTAAATTTAAAACTTATTAATCTTATGATGTTTGATTCGTGCGATTTCAAAAATAAAATATTTGACTAAAATATGAATAACATTTTAAGAAACTAAATGTAGGATGATAAAATTGTGTAAAGCAATGACCACAATGATAAATCTGTTTAAAGCAATGCATGCAAGTCATCTTAAGTTAAAATGTTGTTCTTATTTATATATCTTTTCTGAACGGAACATTGAAAGGGCTGTTAACTGTGCTTTAATGTATTTGCTCTTTTAATATATGCAGTTTTCAAATGCATCGTAGTGTGGGTCACAAAGTATTATTCCGAAAGAAACGAAATTCAAATAAATAAAATCAAATTCTGGAAAATTTATATTAATAAATATATTTAAAATGCTCAGTTCAAATGAATAAATAGAAAATTTTAAAACAATTATCTGAAATGACAATGCAACACAAACAATTAAAATAAAAGTCTAAAAATTTAAAAATTACCTAAAATAATAACTTTGACAAAAATTATAAAGAAAACTATTTGAAACAAATAAACGATGCACATTTTATTTAAATTAAGCAGCTCGAATGGGTAAACAGAAATTTTTAAAACAGTTATTCGAAAGAAAGCATGCAACTTAAACAATTAAAATGAAATTCGAAAAAGAAAAAATTACTTAAAATAATAACAATTATAGTTAAAATATAATATAAAGAACATTATTTGAAAAAGGAACAATATTGACTTTTTTCCCCGCTCACGTACGATGTAAAAATGGAAAGGAAAATAGGTTGCCATGTATTAAGAAGCTCGCCAAGTAAACTGTTCTTGGCGCAAACTGAAAAAAAAGCGCCAACATAAACTTGTGAATTTCTCCGTAAATTTCGAACCCAATTTTACAAAATTTCATATTTAGACATAATTTGAGTCATATAATCGAGATATGGAAAAACATTGGTATGTTATTTCAGTAAAAGTCCGATTTCGTGTCAAAATACCTATATTAGAATAGAGCTATATATAAATACTATAATATATATCCTAAGTCGCTTTCGAGACATGAAAAAGGCAATTTGAATTTCGTCAATCGGCCCAGTAGAAAATTAGAAGCCCAGTAGAAAGGGAGATATAGAACTGTCCCTTTTTTGTGCAGTGTACCTGAATTAAAATGTTATTTAATTTAGGTACCATACTCTTTAATTTTACAGTAGCTGAAAAGATTAATTGACAAGAGAACACTGACCTGAGATGTGTCAAATCATACTTATATAAACACTGTTGTAAAAAGTATAAATATAAAAAGGTTACGCCCATAATTATAAAATATAAAAACTTAATTATTTGCATATGGATTTGAGTCATAACAGACATAGGGAGAAAAGTTTGTTTGCTTGCTTATATTTAAGGCTGACATTGAAAATTAACAAAATAAATCTGTCAAAAAAATTAGTTTTTCTCAATCGATATTTATGTTTCTAAAATGTCTTCCAACTAAATCTAAAAAAATATAATTTATTTACAATACAGCTTTTAATCCATTTCAATAAATGTTAAATCTCCTCACATAAAGCAAGCTGCTTTACCAGAAATCAGTTGCATATTTAAGTCTTGCATTTGCAGGGTGTCCCGGAAAGGGCATCACAAATTTTAAAATTAATATCTCAAAAATGGTTAAAGAGGAAAAGTTGATGCATATTTGCGTAATAGTGAATAATTTCTTGTCGTAGAAACATATTTTATCTACATAAAAAAATCCAACATATTGTCTTCAAGAACAAGAGTACTTGAGTAATTAATTAACGATATATGCAGTCAGACTTTTAAGAAAAATGACAACGAATTTCATTCTTTAGTTACGAGATGTAATAACCACTGATCGTGAATATCGTAGTTTAAATTTCACCTTACGCTCTTTCTGAGCATAACATATTAGACGATTACAGTGCGACCTATCAATAAAATTGTTTGCGAATATAAGAACGCCGCCTTTAATGTCCGTTTCAAGACATTCTGTATGAATCAAATACCATGAAGTGTTCCTCGAGTAAAATAATTAAAAGTTTCAAATACCACAATTTGAGGAAAAAATAAGCGCATATTTTCTGCAACCTCTTAAAGCCACGGCCTTTTGAATTGCTTACAAAGAACTGTATTCAAACAATATTTATTAGCTATATTTGTGCAATTAGTTAATTTACTCTTTTTTCATAAACTTATATTCACTACAATAATAATAACAAATTTAAAGAAAATTAAAAAACTAGTTTAATTCAGAATATTTTAATTAATTAAAAATTTAATTTAATCTAAAGTATTTTAATTAATTTTCATTCAGTATGTATTACCTTATTACTTAATAGTAATTTATTACTATTAAATAATGAGATAATACATACTGAATGACAAATATCGTATGACCGAATAAAAACGATTATATCGGAGTTTTTAATTTATTATTTACGGGATAATCGTTATCACGATATATATTTTTAAACTTTTAAGTTGCTTAAATGAAACAAGAGTATTCTTAAAAAGGCATTTTAAGTAAGGGTAAATCGTCTTATATGTAGGCCAATAAGGTTATACATTTATGAAAGTCCAAGTAGTTAATTAAAATACATATTTATATCGAAATATTAACGCATTTAACAGACAGGCCAATTAAAACCAATCATAGGTAGTGAAAGAAATAATCAGAACATATTCTAAAATGTACTCCTAAAAATTCTTCCTGAAGTTAAAAAAAATTAATAATAATAAATTAATAAACAAAGAAATGCAAATAAATAAAAATAGCTGAGGGTTTATTGATTTACCTGAGTGGAATATATGAGTAGCATGATATTTTCGAAGGTGAGCAACTTTAAGTGTCTGTTGCTGACACCTCTGACATCGACAACAGCTGTATATCCTGCGACTTGCGTGGCGGGGTCTTCTATAGAATGGATCATGCAGTGGGTCACAACCCACATTAACAGGTCTCGGTCCACCTTTTCTGGATCCCACATACCTAAAATGTTAAAGTGAAATTTATGTATTATTTTGCAGCTTTGTTTCCCTTAACAAATAAAAATTCAGATAATTAAAAAGAATCATTAGATTTTTAGACTTATTTAAGAAGATTATTTAATGTAAATCAGATTTCATTAAATCATCATCATCATGTTTGTTTTTAATGTTTTATATAACATTAACAAACAATATGGATATAAGTTAGCTATCAATATGATTAAAGTTTGTATTAAAATACTGCGTTTCGTAGTTCATTAGGCTATTTTGAAGTAGAAGATGTAAAAAATCTGGGAATCGGCCCCTCGCCAGGACTCAAACCTGGAACCTCTCGAATACGCGCCGAATGTGTTACCGTTAACCACGAAGGCATGCTGGAAGGAGGAAGAAAATACCTTATATTGTATAAATTTTATCAGATTTATTTGCTTAGAAAAGCCGATTTATTAAATTTCATTTTGAGGTATCTGATGTTTTAAAATTTGTAATGAAATGTTTTAGCTAAACATCAAAAATTGTAAATCTGTCAGGCAGATGTTAGTTTTACATAGTAATGGTTACATTTAACATTTTTTACACGGTACTTATGCAAGAATTACTTCAGTATTGCTTATTTCAAGGAAAAATTACATGCTGTAACAGTATTTCAAATTTATTAACCCCAGTTTTACGTTATGCGTTGTTTTCTTAGTTAGGTAAAGATTGCTCAAAGGTTTTTCATTTGTGACGACCCCTTTGGATCAAGCAAAATGTTTCGTATCCTGCTTACTATCTTTGCGCGACCCTCCCAACTGAATAAATTCACAACTTGATTAAACACGTGGCAGCGTTACTACTGAGACTTCTGTAAATCTGTCAGGCAGATGTTATTATTAAAAGAAAAATAAATATTTCTAAAAAATAATTATTTGTGTATTATTAAAAGAAAAATAAATATTTCTAAGAAATAATTATGTGTTCTAAAAATAATTATCTAATGTGTATTATTAAAAGAAAAATAAATATTTCTAAAAATAATTATATACATGTAACATGGAATAACCTTGTTTTGAGACAAGAGCTAAAACACATATGTGCAATAGTACCTTAAATAAAATTTGTTATCCTTAAAATTAAAACCTAAAAAATGCTTCTGCAATCACCAACAACATTTTGTTAATCTCCTAAGGGGTAGCAGTCACTACCATGAAAATCCCTGAATTACATCACTATAAACACGTGTATGAACTTACTTCACTTTCTCCTTAACTTGCCTGTCCTTGGCTACGTTTTACATTCTTTTCACGGTTTATGGACAAAAATGTCCACTGCTAACTAAGCGACAAAACTATAGCGAAGCAACAAAACTTGCGAAACTTTCAGAAAAAGGCGGTAACTGTGTCCGAGCTTCAGAAAAGACTAAACAACTCTTTCCGTCACGCCGGAAAACGGGAGCACAGAATGCGAACTTTTGTATATTTTAAGCTGTTGAATGTCAATAAAGTGGCCTAAAAGAACAAAAATGTTGCTTAATTACTGACAGGAATGCATATAAAAAAGCCGTAAAAGTGATACAGTAATAAGTGATATCTGGCAATTGAATTGATACCATAAGGGATTGAAAATTGGATTATTTTATAAAGATGTGCCGTTGCTTCATCACAAAACAAATAGATTCGCTCAACTTCAGATTCAAATTTATCTAAATCTATTTTTAGAAAATTTTTCGGTTAGTTTGATAGCTAATCAATATGGATATAAGACAGCAGTTTATATGCAACAAATGTAACAAAAGAATATGACTAGAGAAGTGAAGTAGCTAATAATAAGCAACAGAGTTCGGGGTAGCGTGATTAAATTTGCAGTACTATTGTTTTGAACAGAACATAATCTTTTCCTGAAACATAACCCTTTCCCCCAACTATAGGAAAATGACGAAAACGAAAATGCGCCATTGAGAAGGGAACTAGTATCTCGAGTTAAAAAGTGAATAGAATTTTGCTGTCTTGTCCATGTGATACGGAACAATGGGTGCCAGAGCCCATTCCAAAGAGAGGATGGACTTTTATTTTCCACCCCCCTCAATTTGAGGGAAAGCAGCCCGGAGTGAATCCGAGGGTCTCTCACCTTCCACCCTCTTCCTTTCGGCTCTTCCCATATTTAGAGTGTCACCATGCCGCGCCGACACTATACATTTACAAACATCCATATCTTCTCTGGGATTCGAACCCGGGGCCTTCGGTACCGTAATAGTCTCCCCTAACCACTATTCCGTCTGGGCGACAGTGAACAGAATAGTAGTATTAACTGAATTTGTCTCTATTATTAGTTAAATTTTTCTTTTTACAATTAAAGAGAACAAATATATGATTAACACAGCAGAATCAAACTGGAAAATTTAATCTGATAATGTAAATTATATTTAAACGTCTTCATGGGCAACATTGCAATTGCTGTTTTTGAATAAAATGGTTTTCAAGTTTGTCCATTTCTATAAGTAATCTTTATGTAAACATTAAATAAACCCCTTGCAGAAATATTGTTTTATATAAATCGAAAACGGCGCTACAAATTTACTTAAAATTATTCATCTATGTAATTTCTTTAAATTAATTTTCATTATCTGACAAAGATATTCTGTGTTATTATCCGAAAGCATTGAGATATTTTTAGTAATATACATTTTAAATAAAAAATAAATAAAATTTGATCGTATACCAGCATGTTCCAAAATAATGTTCCAAAGCGGCAAGAATTGTTGCAATTACAAGGAGAAAAAGTAAACATTGAAAAATATTACATGGTGTATAAAAAATTAAAATAGTCTTTGCAGAAAATATTCGAAAAAACCGAAGAAGCGAATCTTAATTGTTTTTATGACGGCATACTATGAGAATATTTAATTTCAATCTCGGAAACATTTTTTCAAACCAAACAAGGTACAGCAATCATTGAAGGGGAAACGTAAACTTTATCCAAAAGATAAAGACTTCATAATGAAATAAAAGAAACCTTGTTTAAAAATTCGAGCATGAACTATTTATATAATAGTGGCTCAAATCCATACGCAAAAAAGGCTCATTAAAACATGTTTCTATTTCAGTGCAAAAATGAAATAACTTACTGAAGGATGTCATGATATTCCCATTTTAATAAAACAACCTTGTTTATCACCTAAGGAAATCACAAAAGTTGGGAAAAGACCTACTAACTTGTTTTCAGTTATTATATATTCGGTATTCTGAAAATTCCTATGATATTTGCATTTAGTAAATAGCTTTCACTGCATCAAAGAATTTTATCAAAAACTAATGGCGAATGTAAACAAAAATAAATTATTTATTTGAAACCATTAAAAACTTGGGTATAAACTAAAGCAATAAAGAAAACGCAAATTGGTTAAGAATGCTGTCACACTGAAAACTGCAATTTTATGTTCTCTCCAATTGAAACCCATTGACTTCAAAAAGCTACCTTTTGAAAGTTAAGAGTTTAAGAATACTTTAAGAACGTTAAGAACTTTAATTTAATTTTTACTTTATTTTTTTTTATTTTTGCCTAAGATTCTAATATATGTTATAGAACGTCCATATCATACTAATTTTCGTTTGCATGTATAAACATGTAAGAATTAAAACTGGAAATTGTCTTATGCTTGCTTCAATTAGTTGAGGAGTACAAAATCAAATTTGGGAAATAGTTATCTTTGTAGTTATATATCATAGTTATTTTTTTATTGCGTCAATCAAGCTCACGTTTATGTATCTATTATCAGCCCACTGAGGAATTTGGCAGAATACCATTTATTTTATGTAAATGATAGCGATGTAAATCTGGAAAAATTTTGACACAAAGCGATAGTTACCATTTCACCTCAGAGTGTCTAGGAAATCAACCTAAAGTGATCCATAGATTGTTATGTTAGGTTATTTAAATATAGAAAAGCACATGAAGGTTACCTGCTTAAAAGAAACGATACTTTCACAGAGGATATTTTAAACTTAAGTGATCGTATTTACGTTGCATATGGGGAAAATTAAATATGTAGCTATCCTATTTGCTTATGATCGAGCCTGGGTCATGCATCCACTATTTAGCGGTATTAACCACTCAGCCACTGGTGGGGCATACTGATTCATAAAAACTAGAAGGATTAAGAAAGGCAGCGTACGTGCAAAGGTACATTCTATATAGAATTGATGTATAAAATTATGATATTAAACTTCATTTATTAGCCCAAAGGTGCAATTTGCGCGGAATGGCTATTAATTTTGTTTTGGCATTTTGCGCTGATTCACTATAAACGGCGAATCGCTTTTTTAAACTGTTGAGACCAAACATTATCACCCTGCACTACACTTAAAGAAATTAAATAATGAAGAATATGCATGAAAGCATGTATGTTTCTCGCATTGCGAAAAAAAAGACAGTACCTAAGAGGCATCAAATTCTGAATAACGGTATCCTCCATCGGAACATGTGCATCTGGAAGCCCGAATTTCGAATTTCTTTTATTATCTTTTTCATATTTTGTAAAACTTCAATGAATTTTTGATTAACAAACTTTCAACGATTTCGAAGCGAGCAATGGCAACACTATTCGAAAAAAAAAACATTTTTATCTCCAGTGCGCGAGACTGTGTATGGAAAATTATAAAGATATGCTCTTTTTAAGTATTTTTTGATATTGCTGTTGAATTGAATTTTATGTGGTTTAAGTGCGCATATATTTAATTAATAAAGGTAACATACAAAACGTTAAAAATGCCCCTTTCGACGTAATATAAAATCTGAAAGCTTTCAGAAATTTTTTTACAGAAATTTGTTAAATTTAGTTTCATTTAAACTTGGACTTGAATAAAAGATTTAAGTCTGTTGTAAAAAGTGGCATTAATAGTTTACCAAAATTGCCAAAATTTTTATTTTTTCAGGAACTTTAAAATAAAAATCACAAAAAATAAAAGCAAATTAATGTTTGCGAATTTTAGATACATTCCATGCTAAGCAATTAGTTTTTTACGT